CAGGTCAACAGCTTTACATCTAATACAGCATCTTTGTGTGTTATTTGGGGTTGGTGCAGCATTGGGACCAGGCTGGAGGAAAACTACTCGTAACAGATTGGCTTTGCCCTAGGTATGCACCGTAGCCTTCCTGTGTTGGACTGGTGTCTAGATCAATGAATGTATGGGAGCAGGAGCTAGGATGCTGAGATCACTCATGCATTTATTTATTTATTATTTTCTTAATCTGGAAAAAAGGAGAGAAGTCACTGAGCATGAGCATGAGTGAAGTTAGGAGTATAGGGGCAGGGGAGAGAGGTAGCAGGGAGTCATTAGGTGTTGAAAGCCCTGTCAAAGTTAGAGACCATTAAGTATTCAGTGGTCCGAGATCTCTATTCAGGGCTCAGCACAGTGTCAGAACTTATGTGTTCAAATATATTTGTTGAATGGACACATAAATGTGGTCATTTGATTCCTGTCTTTGGCAGTATACACCAACCAGCCGCTGCCCTGGTGTTACAGCAAAGAGGTGGGGGTAGGTGATTGATCTGGGGGTGAGCTTTGAATTGTGAAAGGAGTGTACCAATGAGATAGTGGTTGATAAGAACTTAGTGTGTGAACTGCAAAGAACATGAAGCGTCAAGTCATGAGCAAACAGAAGGGTAAAAAGCTTCCTGACAGAATGAACCAAGAAGCCAGTTAGAAACTGACTGTAAAGGTCTACCTCAAAATAAAAGTGTATACATTAACAATAGTAGAAGTAAGTGTTTTGCTGCAATCTCGGCACTCTGAATGCTTAGGCTCAAGGGTTCAAGCCAGTCTGGGCTAGAGTGGAGACCTTGTCTCAAAAGGGACAACAGAAATGTTTTGGAACTAGATAAAGGTGAAAGCTGTACAACACTGTGGAGATAAACAATGTCACACTGAGTGCTCTAAAATAAATAGATACAAAAGCAGAAGATGCAGCCAGGTGGTGGTGGCTCTAGCCTTTAATCTCAGCATTAGGGAGGCAGAGGCAGGCAGGTCTCTGTGAGTTCCAGGACAGCCAGGACTGTTACATAGAGAAACCCTGTCTCAAAAAAAAAAAAAAAAAAAAAACAAACAACAAAGAGCAGAAGATGTAACAAGTCGGGAAAATACCATGTACTACAAAGGGTTTACTCCCTCCTCCTCCACCCCCCCTTCCTTTCCTGTGCTTTGGGCATGCTAGACAAGCACTCTACCAATAAGCTAAGGAACTCAGCCTCCTGCCTGCTCTTTTCCTTGGGACTGGGGGTTGAACCCAGGATGTACACAGCCCGAGCATGTGCTTTCTGGCTGAGCTATACTCCAGCCTTTATTAGTGCACTCATTTTATTTTTCATTTATTTTTGTGTAGTTTTTTTACTTACTCATTTGATACAGGATCTCCCTATGTAGGATTAGCCGACCTTGAACTCACAGAGATTTGCCTCTCTTCACAGAAATCAAATGTGTGTGCCACCATACCCGGCACTTATTTGTTCACTGTGATGTGTTTCTGGCTGCCCTGGAACTTGAAACATAGATTATCCTAGCCCCAAACTAGAGGCAATTCTCCTGCCTTTGACTACCAAGGATGGGGATTACAGGTTTATGTCATCATGCCCAGATTATTAGTGTATTTTTTTGTACAAAATAATGGGTTTCATTACAACATCCGTACACATATATGATGTATTTTGACCATATTCACTGTCTTACCCTCTTTCCCCATGGATCCCTTCTTCTTGCTATCAGTCCTTTTTCTATGCTACCGTTCTACATGTGTGAGAAAACATGTAGTGCTCATCTGGGACTTAGTTTGCATGGCATGATTTTGCTGTATTCTTTAAAAATCTGTATTACATGTGAGGGTGTGTGTACATGTGCCATGGTTCATGTGTGGAGGTCAGAGGACAATTTGCCTTGTGTGTTCTGGGTATTGCACTTGGGTCTTCAAGATTGGTAATGAACACCTTTGCCCGCTGCACCACTTCTCCCATCCTATTTTGCTATACCCTATCCAAGTCGTCTGTGGATGGATACAGCTCAGTGATAGAACACTTGCCTAGCATGCTCAAGGCCCTGTGTTTGATAGCTAGCATTGCCCCAATTATCTGATCCCCTAAAAGAAATTTTAAAAAATCTGCTCATTAAGTTGGATTTATCTTCACTCATAAGCAGAGAAATGTAAATTAAGATAGGTAATACTTGGGGAGGAGAGATGGCTCAGAGGTGAAGAGCAATGATTGCTCTTTCAGAAGACCTAGGTTTGATTCTCAGACTCCTCCCTGGCAGTTCACAGGGGATCTGACACCCTCACCATGAGTAATGCATGTATGTGATACAAAGATACACATATCAACGATACACTCATACACATTAACAGAAAAAAAAATGGGCATGGTGGATGGTGGTGTACACCTTTAATCCCAGAATTCAGGAGGCAGGTAGATCTGAGAGTTTGAGGCCAGCCTGGTCTACGTAGTGAGTTCTGGGACAGCCAGGGTTATGTAATGAAACCCTGTCTTAAAAAGCAAAAACAAAAAAAAAACCCAAACAAAACCCCCCAAAACACCAAAATAAATAGATAAGAGACAGGTAATACTGTATTTCACCTGCACGGACATGATTAGAAATATGTTCACCCTCTCTGACCCAGAAACTCTTCTTTAAAAATGTCTGATTTAGTGTGTGTCTGTGTGTGTATGTGTAGGTTATGTGCACATGAACACAAGTACCATGGAGGCTAGAAGAGAGAATCGGATCCCTGGGAGCTGGAGCTCTACTCTATTGTGAGCCGCCTGACATGGGCACTGGGAACCAAACTTGGATCCTCGGCAAGAGCAGCCCATGCTCTTTAACTGCTGAGCCATCTCTCCAGCCTGCAGCCCTCCTTTCAGGGCTCTGTCCCTCACATCCAAAAGACAGACCTCTAGGGGATAAGTATTGCAAAACTGTTTGAACTGAAAAAAAAAAAAAAAAAAAAATGGACATTCAGAATGCCCATTAGGAAACCAGTAAACATAAATGACATCTAGTAACTAACAGAAACGGCTCCTTAAAAGGATAGGATGGGTATGAGCAGGGCTTCAGGAAGCCTCTTCTGGGTAACACTATCAAATGAAAGCAGCAAGACGCAGATGAGTTCACGGTTGCTGCCCCCTGTATTTGAGATGAGGCAGAGAGTACATAAAGCCTGTGTATGTGTGACTCAATACAAAGAACAGTCTTTGAATAAACAAGGATAGTGGTGGCTGGTAGGAAAGAGAAATCAGGGTCAGAGAACAGGCAGGAGGGAGCTTGCTTTTTCACTATTTACCATTTTATACTATTCAGACTTTTTAAAGCCATGTTCATGGATTGTCTTCTAAATGGCACTGAAAACATGTTTTTTTTTTTTTTCCCCTTTATTTTTTAAGGCATCATTCCCCAACCCATAGTTAGGGGTTTTTCCTCTGGATCTTCTGACTCAGAACCTGAGACTGGAGAGCCTAATTCTGGATCTTTATCTTGCCTCCCAGAGGATGCTGATTTTCCTGGTGAAGTTAACTCCATGGCCTTAGAGGTCAAGGAGCAGGGTCACAGGAATCAGGGACACTAGAGACAAAGACTTAAAAGGGGCTAGTTCCATTTGTGACAAATCCAGCAGTGGTAGGGCAGATGGCCTGGGATAGAATAAGCAAAGACTGTGGATAAATGATTTAATTACAATTTCATGAGATTCAACACAGACCCCTGCAAGCTGCTCCCATTGGCCTCAACGAAACCTACCTCACTTCTTGTTGGCTGCTCCAATCCCTGGCCTGAGTTTATACACAGCCCCTTCCAGCCTTCACCTTTGCCATGGTCCCAAATGGTTATCCTTGTACATCCCCTAACTCATTTTCAGTTCTCTGCTTGAAGTTCACTTCCTCTAGGGAAATCATCCCCCAACCCCAACCTACATCACACCGATACACCAACTCTCAGTTCCCATCTGGGGACCAGGGAGTGCTACCAGGGAATGACTTACTGCTTGTATGTTCCTATAGCATGCTCGGCACACAGTAGGGATGTAGATCAAGATTCTTCATGGGATGGAGCCTCTAGAAAAGTTTCCTGGCTAATTTTATGTCAACTTGACACAAGCTAGGGTCCCTGGAGAGGAGGGAGCCTTAACTGAGAAAATACCTTCATTAGATCAGGCTGTAAGCAAGCCTGTAGGGCTTTTTCTTAGTCATCACCTGGGGAGGGCCCAGCCCATGGTGGGTGGTGGTGTCACCCCTGGGCACGTGGTCCTAGGTTCTGTAAGAAAGTAGACTGAGTAGACCACAGAGAGCAAGCCAGTCAGCAGCACTCCTCCATGGCCTCTGCATTAGCTCCTACCTCCAGGTTCCTACTGTTTGAGTTCCTGTCTTGACTTCCTTCAATGTTGGGCAATGGTGTGAAATTTTAAGCCAAATAAACCCTTCCCTCCCCAACTTCCTTTGGTCATGGTGTTTCATCACAGAAATAGTAGCACTAACTAAAAAAAGGTCACCTACAGAAGTTGCAGTGGGTGATGTGGGAGGTGAGAAATGTCTGTAGAGTGTCGCTGACTCCCTCCCACCCAGCCTTTTGCCCACAGTATGAACCTTACTGATGTTGCTTGCATGACATCTGTCTGGTGAAGTATGCAGATGTGGTTACAGAGTCCCAGAAGCAGACTGTTTCACAAACCTAACAAGGTTAAAATATGGGCATGTGTTGCCAGCCTCAGCAGAGAGGAGCCTGCCCCGCCCAGTTCCCAGGACCATCAGGCTTCAGGGAACTTAGTATTTTCCCTGTAGATGACTAAGCTTACTTTATGGCTCTACCCTGGAGTATTCAGCCACCAATTCGAGTTTCAGTATTTACCTTGGGACACAGGCGTAGCACAATCATCCAGTAAACATTTATTGATAACCCATGTAAGGTACCCTGTGATGTAGAGAAAACGCATCATAGATGGGCACCCTGTACACCCCTTAAACTCTGCTGAGAAAACACATACACACTCATACCTATTCAAAGGTTTATTTCTTCCCTATGCTCTGAAACAAAGAAATGGCCTTGCCCCCCAACCCGCCCAAAGTTTCATCTTCGAGGAATGGGAGGCAGAAGTGGTGACTTGGGGGTGGGTTGGTATGAGGCCAAGTGTGGGAGTCTTTCCTACTTTTCTCTGCTATCGCTCCTCATTTTCAGGGTTCCCTTCCCGAAATTTTAGGTGTGCACACAGCTTGCCACCTGGGGAGCAGGGCTAAGGCAGCAGAGCTGAAGTCAAAAGATTAATGCCCACTTTCAACAAGTGATGGGTCCAGTGCGTTATCTTGGGTGGATGGGTTAGGAGGAGAGGCTGGGACCCTCCCACCCGAAATGACAGTGGGATCTTGGTCCTGCCCCTACCTCTCCCAGCCCCTTTTCCTAGCAGAACTGGTCGTCACAGTCGTCATCCTTCATCCCCTTCAGCCGAAGCCGGGCAAAGTCCTCAAACACAATGTCGTCATCTGTGGCATAGCTTGGTGACAATAAGGAGTAGATGAGGTGAGGGCTTCTGACCGTTCCTTGGGCCTCCCACTCTGCTTCCCTCCCGCGCCCCATCTCACAGGAGACAAGGGACTTAAGTGGCAGCCTCAACAGGCTGAGTCATCTGATTTGATACTTCTACCAATCTTTCCCACCAGAAGGGAACACCCACAAGGTAAGAGAGTGGATCTGAATGATATGGGAATCTCTGTCCTAGAGGATCAAAGTAAGACAGCAGGGAGGGTTCCTTACTTGGTATCGAATTCGATGAGGTTGGTATCCACAGGGACATCTGTTTCCTGGGGGACTGAAGGGCAGAGAGGGGGTGGGTGGATGGGCACTGGAAGGAATATCTTTTCTCCACTGGCCCTGCTTCAATCCCTCACTGTGGGGCTCAGGGGGTGGGGAGTGCTCACCTGACTGGGGTCTGGGAAGGGTGATGTGGTCATGGGGCTTGGGGTGCATGAGAACAAAAGGTAGTTCCACGGAGACATCCCTGAGGAGAGGGAGGGGCTGAATGAAGAGAACAACCACCACAAACACTAGACAACCACGTGACCAGGCTTCCCACTGTACTCACCCGCCTCGAGACACCACCAGCTTCACCTTGACCCTGTAGGATACCAGGATTCCCAGCACCTCCTTGTTGGCTCCTTCCTTCACGCTGTAATTGGGGGGAGAGCTGGGTCAGGGATCCAGAACTCCCGCAGCCATCAGCTGTGCATTCCTCCATGCAGAACCCTCCTGGGGCCTCATGTTTGCCAGGCACCGGGGTGCTTTGATCTGCAGCACTTTGTGTGCAGCTCCTCTCGCCTACTTCTCTTTTTGTGGTCCCCTCTCACCACCATGGGCCTGTGTGGTGCTGTAGTGTGGACCCAGCAAAAAGGCAGGACTGGGTGAAACCCAGCAAAGAAGCACAACTGGGTGAAGGTCTGGCCATCTAGGGCCACGGGCGACCACAGTCATAGTGACACATCACAATTGCTCATGCACTCTGGGGACTATCCCACCTGAGCCTTGAAGCTTGCAGATCTCTCTGCCTGGAGCCTTCTTTGCTTGCACATCCACAATGCCTCCTTCCTCCGGGTCCTTTACTGCTCACCCTTTCTGGCCAATGTATTTACAATCAACACAGCCTGACCCTTTCTTTACTTTATCCCTCCTGCTCTGCTCGATTTTCCCACTTAGCACTTGTTCCTAACATGCTATCTAGTTTACCACTTATCTGATTGTCTGCCTTCCCTCCCTTAGAATGTGACAGGTTTTTGTCACTTCTGTTCACTGATACCTCCCTGGCACCCAGGACACAGCCTGGCACACAGCCTGCACTGCACTGGACGGAAGCCTGTCCCCTTGTCCCTCAGTCCACCTGTCCTGCCCTCACATGGTGCTGGAAGCCAAATTGGTGTCTTCATGCTTGAGCTGCCCGTCCAGGGCGAGGCCACGCTTCTCCCGGTTGTCACTGAGCAGTGGGGTTATGGTGTACACTTTGCAGAACGTGGAACTGGGAGATACCTGGTCACTGGGGGTTGGGAACAAGAGAACAAGATTCTTGGAGACACTGGGCTGAGGGAGGTTCATCTTACCACCCTCAGGCAGTACTTCCTCCTTCCCTGTCCATCTGGGCAGATTATGAGGGAGAGTAGGCTCTGACTCAAGCTAATACCAGCCCGGAGCCCCCAGGCTATAGAGGGACACCCTCAGAAGTGAGACCAGTGAAGAAGAATTCTGCCTTCTCATTTTCGCCCCTAAGTTTGGGTCCCACACCTGTCTCGTACTCACTCTTGCTCAAGCTGAGCCACAGGACACTTGTATTGTGCGGTGCTGAAGAGGCAAATGTCGGCATACTGTCTCACTGTGGGGTAGGGGACCAAGTGTCTTAGGGTGAATTATAGACTATTACTGAACCACAATTCCAGCCCACATGGTGTGAACCCCACCTGGGGGGCAGCACACCCCCACCTCCTACCCCTGGCCAACAGCCCTCCTATAATAAACATTAGGGCTGAGCATCATCTGGGAACAGGCTAAATCTTTATGCCCTGGCAGGTCTCCCACACTGGGATATGGCCTGGGCTGACATGGCAGCAGAAGCCCCTTGTAAGCAGGGACTGCCTTCCCCACGCCCATGCCCACCTCCCACCTCCTACCAGAGACTCTGATCTTCTTGACGGTCTTGGCGGAGTTGTTGGTGACATGGACGTTGACATTGAGTGGCTCCCCGTGGTAGTACAGCTTTTGAAATGAGAGGATTACGTAGCTTGCACTTGCTTCTACTGGCTCCAACTTGGGTATCTCCCTGACAGAGGCTGCTGTGCCCCACCCCCAACCCCAGCCCATAGCACCTCCACCCAAGTGAGGCAACCACTTTAAAAAAAAAAAAAAAATCCCAAACCACAGCCCTGCCAGTGGCTTCGCCCCTCCCCCAGGCTCTGGCCTGCTTTTTAGCATCTTTTTCACCCTCTCACACCTCACCTCTTTGTCCAGGGAAGCCTCTAGGTGCAAGGACCTCCGGTCAGACATGAGGAAGTGGCGTGTGGTTTCTGCTGAGGGCTGGGGGCCAGGCGTCTCTGGGGCAAACTGTACCTTTCTGATGATAAGTCGAACAGAGTTCCTGCATCAGGGATTGGAGGAGGGGAAGGGTTAGTTCCGAGACACTACACTTCCAACTCAGATTCCTACCTCCCACAGGGGCCTGGGGCTCCATGAGGCTGGCAGGGAATTGTTAAACCAGAGACAAAGTAGTTTCTCTCACCTTTTGTGGCTTTTTTCTTCTAGGGATTTGGCACAGAAGGCACGAATCTCAAAGTCGACTCCGCAGGCCTTGGAAAGGGGAGGAAAGGCCACTTCTTACCCAAGGCAGGATCCTGTTGCCACTTCCAACACACCCCTTCCTTCCTCCTTGCTCCATTCCCCTTAGGTGGGGACTTTTGCCCCATCACGGAAGAGGGACCCTCTTGACCCACAGCCTCCCTCTAGTTTGGCACCTGACAGGCTGGCTCATGGCAGTGCATGGAGGAACCCCATACGCAGGTACATGTTCCAGATGCAGTGACCACACCCGTGACCATGGAGACACCTCCTTGTCTTCGGGACCCCCTGAACTTCACCCTCTAGTTCAGTTGTACTTTGTGCTTCTGCTGAGCCCAGTTCTGTTCATATACTGTGACGGTTGTCCCTCCCTTACCTTCCCTGTGTCCTCTGGTCCTGGCTGCAGTGTGACAGAGCAAGGCAAATTCTGGGGTATCTGTGGCAGAGAAAAGGAGGGGTTTCAGTCCCTGGTAACAGGTGCCTTATGCTATGTTGATCCCACGGCCCCACACCCTCCAGAGAATGGGGAGAATCCTCACTGTGAAAAAAAAAGGGTGCGCATGCTGGCCCAGCTTCTTCAGCAGTCGGTCCTGTAGGCGGGTGGGGGGCCGGGGTGGGTTGGGCATGGGGGGGAAGGCTTGGTAGGTGGCGATGAACAGATCTTTGCGGAAAGACAGGCCCAGTACATCCAGGTCTTCTCGGCCATAGCGGAAGGCGCAGGTGAGGGTCACAAACACTGGAAGTGAGGGCAAGGTGGGGTGATCAGGAGTTACCCCATCCTTCGTGTTGCCCACACCCTTCCTCAGCATGACAGTCTTCCCTGAATTCTACCCCTTGCTTCTGCCTCAGCCTTCCATCTCTCTGGGATACCCTACCAATGCTAACCCATCAAATTTCTTCTTCTTCCCGCCTCTCCCCTCCAGCTCCTGGACTTGGGCGTAGTACCTTTGCGGTCCTTCAAGTAGTCAGGATCCACGAGCACCACGCCATCTAGGAAAGGGATTCGCTTTCTGAAGGCGGCCTTTCCCCATCCCCAGAAGCAGGAACCTCTTCCCTCCTGGAGGATGAGCTGTCCCCTTCTAGGCACACTTACCCACAGGATCCACTTTGTCCAGGTGATCTACAAAGTCGCGCTTGCCCAAGTACACTGTGAGCTGAGAATGTCAAGGGTCACAGGCAAAATTGGGGAGGATGGTGGCAAGCCACCAGAGCCCTCAAAGATGGCGGCCCTGTCCTGGGCTCCCCTTGGCTGGGTTATGAGGAAGGAGTTTCTCCCAGTGTTATTGGAAGGTGCGAGTGGCAGGGGTTTCAAGACTATTCAACAAAGCTTTGATCTGGTCCTTTGGTCACTTTTCATACCAACACCCACCAAGCAAGGATAGGGGTGTGTGTGTGTGTGTGTGTGTGTGTGTGTGTGTGTGTGTGTGTGTTCCCATGTCTTCAGGGAGCACTCAGCCAGGCAAGGCAATTAGCAGCTCTCCCTACAAAGGGCCCTGAGATAAACAGGCCACAGACTGGGGAACTATTAACTTTTCCTAGCCCCATGTACCCTGGGTTCGTTCCTAAGAGAGTTACAAGCTTGCTTAGGAACCTAGCTCGGTCTCCACCCAGCCCTGTGGCTTCTTCAGACTGTGGCAAGGGTTTAAGGAGGAAAGGAAGTGTGCTTTTAGCTGTCACAGGAAGTGGGGAGGTAAGGGTTGGGGATCAACTGGGGGTAGGTTGGGCTTTGATAGGGCCCAGGGAGGATCAAGGATAAGCACTGTGGGTGACTCACCTTGCAGTTAGGGCTCGACTTCTTGAAGACCCTAACAAAACAGAAAGGGAGACCCCACTGCCTCCCTTAGACTCAGCAGGGACCACCACACCAGGACTCATCCCACCCCAGCCCGAGAAGTGGAATTCACCCTGGATCCCTGCTCTACCCTTCCCACATCTTTTTACAAAATCCCAGTATTTTCCACATGGCAGCCCCTTGAAGCCAACTGTCAGGGCAAATGCTTGCCCCTTTGGTTTGATCCACCTCTACAGTAATGGCCACTGGTTGCCCCGGGAACCATCTACACTCTCCCAAGGGGACAGTCCCCAGAAGGAGATATGAACTGGATGGCTACACAATGTCTGGGTCAGACCTAACACACTTTTTTTTTTTTTTTTTGAGATGGGGGTCAAACTATATAACCCTGGCTATCTTGGAACTTGATATATAGACCAGGCTAACCCCAACTCTGAGATCCACCTGCCTCTCCCTCCTTGATGCTGAGATGAAAAGTATGAACCACCACACTCAGTTAAACTAGCCACTTTTCAACTGACCTCTAGCTTCAACGACCCCTGAGGCGACCACTGGAGCAATGCCTTGACTTTGTCCCTCAATTTCTACTGAAGGCAACACCCATATCTGACTATTTCATGAACTTCCAACATCCCCATCTCTGACCTCAGCAGCTTAAAAAAAAAAAACAAAAAACCCACTTGTTATTCAAGGCTTAACTCAGACATCATCTTCATCAGATTGAAGACTCAGCCTCGACTTTAATCACCAGCACACCTCCCTTTGTTCCTTGCATATCTTGTTTATATTTTATTTGTGATTTCACAAAGGGCGACAGCTCTTAGGCTGTGACCCTTGGGACCTTGTACATTGAAGTGTCCCAACTCGGTAGCATCCATGTGACAAAGAGGATGCTGGCTAACTTTTACTGGGTGACTGTTCTGGTCCTAGCACTGTTCCAATTGGATTGTGACTACTCTGACAGCCCCACTGAAGTCGAAATAATTCCTGTTTTAGAGAGAAGAAACCAAAGCATAGAGAAATCAAGAATTTTGTCAAAGGTCACAGACAATGTAAATAGTGGAACTCAGAGGTAAACTTAAGGAAGGCAACTCTGGCTTTAAGTCCCTGTTGTCAACCATTAAATTTTTAAAATAGCCTGTCACTGACAATTTTTCCAGTTGAAGGGGTTTTCTATACAGGCACTGAAATAATCTAAGCCTAGACTCCACTCATGCTGGGAGCACAGGAAGCTGTCTAAAAACCCCAACTCACTGCTGGGAGCATAGGGAGCTGTCTAGTGACCCCAGGGGTCTGGCCATTTTGAAGCTCCATGCTACCTCTTCTAATGATGCACTTTGCTTCAGCAGCAATTCCTAGAAAAGGTCCCAGAGAACAAACTGAAATAATGCCCAATGTTCCATCCCTCCTTCAACTCATGTGACACATAGGATCACATGACAAACTCACAGGGTACACCTGAGTATCCCAAAGCAATGAAGGCACATATGGACATGGTAGCAGTTAGAAGAATAATTCTAATTTCTATCCAATTAGGGCTGACAGCTAGTACATCACCTAGGCTTGGTCTCTCTTCTACTTGTCTTCCCTCTGTCCTGTGCAACCCCATCCCCACCCCCACTAGAATCCCTGGCAGAAGGCTGTGACAGCCACAGTGTGCCTCTCCGTTAGTTACCCTGGAGTAACTACAGGGCAACTGCCGTCTACATCTTATCCAGCCATCTCTTGCCAGGTTAGGGAGGGGAATCGTACACATACTGAGGCTGGCCAAATCGGCAGAGTAAGGGAATTAGCAGGGAGGTGCCCAGCTGTGGGAGGTAGCTAAGGCAGATGCCCTTTTGTACTTCCTGCCATTCTCTCCATTTCCTATGGCCCAAAATTTGATGAGACTGTAAGGAATTATGCCAAGTCAGCAGTCTCTCCTTGGTCCATCTATCCCCTTTCCTGAACCACGCAACGGAAATTTGGGGGCCTCCCCCAAGTAAGCGACTTCCCCTTTCTCTGGGGTGTTTTAACCCCAAATCCAGGAGGCCAACAGTCCCTCTGATCATCTCTCTCAGATATAGGTCCTCTTGATGCTTAGAAGCCTAAGTTCTCACACCCCAAGGGCAGTGGGAGTGGTAGGGTTGACCCTGTGTTTTGCAGAAGTGACTGTTCAGAATCAGGCCTTTATTCTCAGTCCTCTCTGGTTTGAGGCATGGAACCCCAACCCACTCTTTTGCTCTTGCTCCCTTGGAACTCAAGTATTCACCCCGGTGTTTGGTTACAACAGGAAGTGGATTTTTGCTATAGACCAAAAAGAGAACTCTGATATCTGTGGAAGGAAGGAGCCTCGATTGCACAGAAAACATCCGGGGAGAGGATGTGTGTGCCCAGGGCAGATACTACCTCTCCCCTCCCCGGGACAGGAATACAGCTCAATTTCAGCCAGGGTCCCTAAGCACTCTATTCCCTCAAGAAGCTGTTGCTCCTAGCAACCTAGGAGAAGACCGAAGTTTGATAGCAGAGCTATCCGGCCCTTGGGACAGGTGGGAGCAACCAGACTATGGGGTATTGAACAGGAGGCTTTCCATTGGTTAGGCACCAGTCTAGGGGAATCCCTTCCCAGCATCCAGTCTCCCTGCACACAACCCCTCGGGGCCGGCCACCTGCTCCTCCTTCCTCCGCCCCTGCATCTCAGCCTGCACAGAGAACCCAGTAGTCCGACTCCTACATCTCTGCGAGAACCCAGGCGTGGGTTTCCAGATCCCTATCAGCTCTTGCTTTCTGCAAGAGCCCAAGCACGCACCCCAGCCCCAATATCTTCAAGGACCTAGGCTTGCGGCCCCAGACCGCTACCCTCCAGGGACCCAGGCATCCGGCCCCCGGGTATCTTGCCCGGTGTCCTTGTCTGAGGATCATCTTGTCACCCTCCATGAGCCGCCGCCCATGCCCCGCAGCACGGCCCCACCTCCCTTACCTGGTCCCGGGTTTTTCCCCCATGGTGCGCGCGCGCTCGCCGCCCTCCGCCTGCCGGGTTCGCGGCTCGCTCGCAGCCTTCTTGCCCACTGCCAGGTTCCCCCCCCCCCGCGCGCCACTGCGCACGCGCGTCCTCTCTCTTTCTCCTCCTTCCCCTCCCCTCGGGTCTGGGTCTCGGGGAGCCGGGGCCAGCTGCGTCAGCCGGATCCCGCGCGCTGCGGCGCTGCCCGCCCTCCCCGAACTGGCTCCGCCCCACGCCTCTGTCCTCGGTCTCCCTCCGGGACGCCTCTCCTCGCGGTCCCTCTCCCGCTCTCCCCGCCCATCTCGCCTCCTCTCCTCAACCCCTTGGAACCAGATTGGGCCCCTTTAAATGAAGGCGGCTGACTTCCAGGCAATTAGAGCCATCTGATTGGCTTTCGGTATCCATAGCCCTTCAGGGATCCCTCCCCTTTGTTTGCTTTCACAGTGGCGGTGGAGGGACGGGGTAGTGGGGGCGGTGGGAATGAGCTCAAACACTGTCTGGGTCTGAGGACCCGGTACTGCACACGTGGGTGAACCGTATTAGCTGCACGACGATGCCTGCCTCGGTGTGCGCTGCTCATCTGAGCTTGCAGCCTTGTTTGGCCCTCCTTCCCGCGTTCTTGTAGTCTTTCAGCTCCCCCTGGTGTTATTGTCTTTGACTTTTGCAGGATCACGTCTAAAATTTTCTCTGACTTTGCCATCTCCTCTACTATCTACCCCAGCTATCATCCACCCAATCCATCCATCCTTCCCTTCCTCTCAATTTTGTGTTAGTGTGCCAAGCCATCGGGATAGCACATGAATTACAATGGTCTAACTTTCCTGGGATCCTTGAGACACAGAAGACAGGTATTATGCTCCCAGGAATGCTGTAATAGAGGTATGACTCAGAACATCAGGCAACTAAAAGCGCTTGGCCAGCGGGGGCGGCGGGGGGGGGGTTGTTGAGTGCAGTCAGTCGCTCCAGAAGATAGGAAATTTGAGGACAGCGGTTCTGAAGGATGGGCAGAAGTAGGGAAGGACGTCCTAAAGACTGCATAAGGCAAAGTACATTCTGTGCTAAAGTGCTTGTGGGTTAGGTGGCAGGAGGAGGAGAGCTGCGGAGGACAAGAAGGGCTTGTGGAGACTTTGTGTAGCAGGTGAAAGAAAGAGCCCGAGGAACCGGTCCTGTTAATTTAAATTTTCTGCTCGGGCCTCAAACATGCTTGGCAAGTATCACCACTAAGCTATATCCCTATCCCCAGCCCAGGAGTGATTTGACTTTTATTTTTTCACCAGAAGAATGTCGTGATGAAATTTCTGTTTTGGGGGTGACATGGAGCATGGACTGATAGAAATAAACTGGCCAAGAGAAAATGGTGAATGATGGAGTGGAAGAGAAAAGAGGGGCCATATTAAAGGTTCGTTTCTGGGGTGATGTTGCCTGGTTTGGGGGAGGATGAAGGATGGCTGATATTTCTAGACAGGTTTTTCTCCTCTTGGTCTTTTTGTACTCTTCCCCGTTTTCCCCAAATGGAATACCTTTGTGCTTTTCTCTTGTCCACATGAAGACAATGTACATGAGACACAAACCTCAAATCCTCTTTAATTTTCAAACAGAGGCCTTGCTCATCACCCGCCCCCCCCCCATTCTATCATCATCTTTTCAGTTTGCTCTTTTATTATTAAAATTTATTTTATGTGTATGAGTTTGGCCTTCATGTATGTATGTTCACCACCATTTGTGTACATAGTGCCTGTGGAGGTTGAAGGCATCCGACTCCCCAGAACTGGAGTTAGTTATAAACTTCCATGTGGGTGCTGAGAATTGAACTCAGGTCGTCTGTATGAACAGCAAGTGCTCTTAACCATGGAGTCATCCCTCTAGCCCCAATTTGACTATTTGAGACAGGTCTCACTACATAAGCCTGGCTGGCCTAGAACTTGCTGTGTAGATCTGGGAGGCCTTGAATTCACAGAGGTCCCTTTTCCTCTGCCTCTTGAGTGCTAAGACTAAAGTTATGAAACACCAAATTCAACTAAGGTTTTAATATTTTTTTTTTGACTCACGAATGGCTTTTTGTTCAAGTTTGACCCATGCCAAATAGGTCATGATCAAAGGTAACACAGGCTACCTATAAAGTGGTATTTGAGGGCAAGGGACGTAGCTTAGTTGATGGAATGCTTGCCTATTATACATAAAAACTCTGTATTGGGCTTTAATCCCAGCACTCAGGAGGCAGAGGCAGGCTGATCTCTGTGAGTTCAAGTCCATCCTGGTCTACAAGAGCTAGTCCCAGGACAGGCTCCAAAGCAATACAGAAAGCAATACAGAGAAAAAAAAACAAAAACAAAAACAAAAAAAAAAAAAAACAAAACAAAACAAAACAAAAACCCTGTATTAGATCCCTGGCATTTTTGTAAAACTGACTGTGGTGGTTTCTGGGGGATCAAAAATTCAGTGTCATACTCAGGCACATATCAAGTTTGAGAATAGCTTGGGCTACTTGAAACATTGTCTCGAACACACAGATATCACACACACTAACAAAATGTAACAATAACTAACAACATATTGACAAAGTTATAAAGAGCTATTGGTAAAAGTAAAGAGAAAGGTAATGGAGCTGGAGAGAGGGCTCAGAGGTTAAGACCACTGATTATTCTTCCAGAGAACCCAGATTCAATTCCCAGCACCCACATGGTAGCTCACAACGGTCTGTAATTTCAGTTCCAGGGGACCGGACATCTATGGCAAACCGCCAATGCACATAAAATAAAGTAGAACAAACTAAAAAAAAGAGAAAGGTAATGGTCTACATGACATGGAATTTGTGTGGCTGACTGGGTAAAGGCAGGTATGGCCTGTGTTCAATCCCCAGAACCTACATGGTGGAAGGAGAGAATCAACTCCCCCAAGTTGGCCTCTGATGGCCACACAAATGCTATGGCAAGGACGCTTCTCTTACCCAAATACACAATGAACATTATTTAAAAAACAAAGCTCAGGGTCAGGAGGTGGTGTCACACGCCTTTAATCCCAGCACTTGGGAGGCAGAGGCAGGGGGATCTCTGTGAGTTTGTAGCCTGGTCTACAGAGTACCAATCGGAAGCTACACAGAGAAACCCAGTCTTGAAAAACAACAACAGCAAAGCTCAGGATCTTAGCCTAGGGAATGATAACACCCATGGTGGAAGAGTCTTCAACTCAACCAACCTAATAAAAATATTCTCCCATAGTCATGCCTAGAGACCCACCTCTCAAGTGATGGTAGAGCTCATCAAGTTGGTAATTGAAATCAATCACTATAACCATTTTTCAGGTTAAAAAAAAAAATGGGAGTGTAGTTAGTACAAGTAGTTTGGAGGCAGAGCTGGTGTTGGAACCCAACAGGCTAGCTTCAGAGTCTGTGGCCTAATTACAAAACCTGACTTTAAAAATACTAAGATTACAGCGCCCCTTACCAGCAGGAAGTAGTGTGGAAAGAACGACGCCCAAATTCCCAAATAAAAAAAATAAATAAATAAAAAGACTAAGATTAGCAGGGCAGTGGTGGTGAACGTCTTTAATCCCAGCACTCGGGAGGCAGAGGCAGGCAGATCTCTGTGAGTTTGAGATCACCCTGGTGTACAAGAGCTAGTTCCAGGCCAGCCTCCAAAGCCACAGAGTAGCCCTGTCTCAAGAAACAAACACAAGACAAAACAGAACAAGAAATACTAAGATTAACACCAGTGAGATGGCTTAGAGGTAAAGGTGCTGCCACCACTGAGGGTGGACTGTGACGAACCTGCGCATGGGACCTATACTTGTATGTCAGGATCACATGGACATGTCCCTTTCACCTGTTTCTTGGAATGTCACGAGTAAACAGCTCTTTGGCTTCATGGCCTTCATGATTTTCATGTTCTGGGTGAGGAAACTTTGCGCACCTACCAGCCTGTGGAGCTAAGCAGTACCGTTCTAATACTGTCCCTGGAACAAAGAAGTGATCCTACCACAGACTCTGTGAGATCTGAGGAGGCTGCATGGGCTTTTGTGCCCTCTAATGTTGGGAGCGGTTTTTGAGGGGCTGCAATCGGAGCCAGCCGAGCGGCCCCAAGTACCTGAGTGGGGGAATGTGGATGAGGGGAAGGCTAGCTATAGATAATAAAGAAAGAGAGACAGAATAAAGGTCAGGAGGGCAGATCAGTCAATACTGAAATGCCATGAGTATCATGTATATGGAACAGACTTTTCTTCCTTTCTCATTCTAAGGGTTCAGTAGCCACACCTTAGATCCAACTTCTTCCCTAGCCTTAAGGTCAGAAGTAGCCACACCTCAGATTCGGGTCTGTTGTTATTTAGACTAAGATGGCTGAAACATCCTTCTGTAGCCACACCTTTGACTTTTAGGTCTTGTGACTTGCTGACAGCTTTGAACTCTCTGTCCTTGTGCCAAGATGGAGTGCAGCCATCTTTATGGACACCCACACTCTAACTAGGACTCTCCCATTCCTAGAGGCTTTTTATTTTTTGTCTTTCCAGACAGGGTTTCTCTGTGTAGCTTTGGAGCCTGTCCTGGAACTCACTTTGTAGACCAGGCTGGCCTCGAGCTCACAGAGATCCACCTGCCTCTGCCTCCTGAGTGCAGGGACTAAAGGTGTGCTCTAATGAAATTCCTGATAAAACTAAAAAAGAAAGAAAAGAATGTGTATGACATTTTCACGCATAAGTATCCATTACTCTCCCTTGTGTTCCCCTGCCTCATCCCTATGACCACTTTCTCCTATTACTGTGCCTTCTGTTGTCATGTTTTATATATCTATATTGTTAAGTCTAGATTTGGCATAAGAGAGCAAATCTGCAATATTCATCTTTCTTCCCTATCACCCTCTTTTCCCCTCTCCCTTCCCTTTACCCTTCCCTCTACATACAGGTCTTCTTTTACCTTCATGTCATTATATAGACACACATACCTATGTGCACATATATACATATACACATGTACATATACACATTCACTTATACATACATACACATACATAATACATATGCCACCTATGAGAGAAGTATATTTGTCTTCTTGCATCTGGCTTAGTTTACTCAAAATCAGTAGTTCTCAGCTTGTGGGTTGTGACTCCTTTAGGGTCAAATGACCCTTTCACAGAGGTCACATATTAGATATGCTGAA